CTAAGTCCCGACCCAAACTCATCACCCCACTTACGTCAATTGTACCTCGTAAACATAAAGTCAAAATTTTTGACTTTAAAGTCAATTATGTTTACGAGGTACAATTGACGTAGGTGGGGTGATGAGTTTGGGTCGGGACTTAGCGGGGGGTTTACCGGGGTGGTTAGGGGGTAGAAATCATCAATTTTATGAACGGAATTTCGTAGGGGGGCAGTGGCTTCCATGGCCACTGGATTCCAGTGGCCATGGAATCGGGCCGATAAATAAATAGAAAAAACTTTTAAATACACAGTAAATACATTTAAAAGGGATTTTAAAAAGGTTTGACTAAATAAAAAGCTTTGACACCAAAAGTTTGGACTCTTCGTACTTGGTCCAAGCTTATTTAGTTGATTTCCGGTACAAAATTCAATTCTAGGAGGATTGGAAGGTAGGGTCTAATTTTTTTGGTCTCATCTTGTTAGGTTTGATCTTTTTTTTTTTTGAGATTTAATATTATCTCGTTTAATTTGATATAATTCTAGTTAAGTATAAAGTTTATTCTGATTTAATTATATTTCAATCGAAATTAACAATAACAAAGAATAAGTTGAAGAGAACAGATTAAATCAGATTAGATATAACTTTAAAGTTGGTTTTAATTTGGTTTGATCAATTCGGATCAATCGAAGATCAAATAAAGTTTATAAAATTCAGTTAAAAACTGATCAAATGAAATGAAGAGAATTGAACCATATTAGTACGTTTCAATTCTTACGAGTATGGTTCCAAAATCTAGTTCTCAACAACAATTCTGTAGAATCCCACGAAAGTAATGTAAAGAGGATGTGTGTATACAATTTTTGTCTTACTCGAAAGTAGAGAGTTTCTTTCTTAAAAAAAGGTGGAACGTCTACTCTGGGAGCCCCCACATCCTGACTCGACAGGATTGTGAGGAGGTAAATCTTGGTATAATCTGAATCTGTTCCATAGAGATACTGCCCTGTGCCCGGTGTGTAAAAAGAACTATTACAAAGAATAAAACTCTCACACGGTAGCTGACGGGATTCAATCCTATAATCAATGAACTTGACGTCTGTCCTCTCCTTGAACCAGTTGAGCTACTCAGGGAGAGATTTTTTCTAAAATGTAAAGTATGTCACATGGTTCCAAAATCTAGAACATAAAATTTCAAACTATGTTCAAAATTTATAGTTGAGTTATAACTTAAAATTTGATCTAGACTATTGAGTTGTGTTTAGTTAGAAGAGAAAGGAGAGAAATGAATGACAAACACAAAAAAAAAATTTATTTTGTGTTTTTAAATCTTGATATCCATACATTCATCCCCTCATAAGTCGTATCCCACCAAACAAAGCCTCATCAATTAAATTCCAAACAAGACATATTACTTCGTTTCTAGCACTCAAACAAAAAAAAATTATTCGAATCCAACCCTATTTCTTTCGATCTAACCTTAAGATTGGTTGAGTGACTTGTGCCTAGTTTGAAAAGAAGTATTTCCAATTAGCCTTAACATCTCAGAAAAAACTTTTATTGGTTTGTATATTAATTTGGAAAAAATGCTTACCAAATCCCCTCTTTCTATATAACCTTAAGCTTTTGTTGCTCTTTTCTGCTGGGGTTCAGGCTAGAGGTACAACACATTTCCTATTTGTGTTCTTTTTTTTGTTGCATTTCATATTTATGCACGAACAAACTAGAAACCGCCGCAGTTGGCACCACGGAAAATAATTGTCTATGAATTTTTATGCACAGACAATAATCATGCTACACATACACCAAAGCATGTACCCCAGAGTTACTCTACAAATATACACAAATATTTTGATATTTTACACTGAACACGTACAAAATGCTAATGCGCATAAAAAAAATCTACATTCAGTTCAGAAATTGTTATCTCCTTTTTCTGTTCAAACTCATAGACAATTGTCAAGTTTTAGTGTAGGTTGCGGTAAATTCCTAGCATTTTTAGTTACACACCAGAACAAATGTAATATCGTTTTTAAATATAATTAGATGAGAGCGTCAAGCTAGAAACAACTTGAAGTTGTCGTAATATTATAACACTACCCCTATAGACTTGATCAATTTTGACAAAAAAATATATTTGCATACGTTCAAGTTTGAAAACATCAATAACGATTGTGTGTAAATTTGTTACACACTTACACTAACTCACAAACACTTCATCTTGCCAGGAAAAATAGAGGGAGGGGTTAAAAAAGGGACTTTGCTACGGGATTCCCACTTTTTTTACACCAATTTGGCATCACATTTTTCTTAGAGACACATAGAAATGACAAATATTGTGGTCTCCACCAACAATTATTATTTATGTGTGTCTGTGAACAATATGATGTTGAAATAGTGTCAAGCTGATCGTGAAATAGTGAGATTTGTCTCTAATACTTGCAAGAAATCTATGCTTAGCATGATCATTCTTTTTCGCAGTTGTCACGATTGAAATTCGGAGGAACTTCTTATGTCAATGTCCTCTCGACTAGCTAAGCTACCGGAACATTTTTCTATATATTAACCCTCTTGCGCCTTGAAAACATTTCTGCCCTAATTTTGTGTGCACCCCGTAAAATACTTTTACTCTACTCAAAATGTCTAAACAAAAACAATTTCTACTCGTCATAAACTACATAATGGAATGTATTTTAGACATTTTAGGTGAAAGTAAAAATATTTTATAGGGTCTGCAAAAAATTAGGGCGGAAGTATTTGCAAGAAGAGAGGGGGGAGTAACAATGATTAAAACAATACTAAATGTACCCAACCTGGATTTTCCCTTTTTTTGGTTGCAGAATTTAGTGCATATCATCAAGTACAGTTTTTGTGGCAGCCTTCACTACTCTGCACGCACCACTACATAAGTTTAAAGAAATAAAAAAGAACAATGGTAATGCTCTTTAAGATGGATATTAGTTTGAAAAAAAAGAAGTAAACTCAACTTGAATCTTAATTTAATAGTAACGGATATGATATGTACATGATACGTGCAACGACTCCATCATCATTGCCAGTTGTCAAACTCAAGCCGTTCACTACGTAAACGAATACCACGTATAATTATTCCTAGTTTTTTTAATTAATAAATTGAAACTTTTAATGGAATTTTAGTATGAGTTCAAATATTGCTCAGTATAAACATTTCTATGACCTACAAAGTGAGTGAGTTGGGCAATTCCACAAGCATGCATGGAGGAGGAGCCTCCCACAATATACCTACTCTACATAAACCCAAGAAGAGGGAGCAGTGGGACCCTCAAGATTGGGCTGAAATCTCCCTTTTTAAGAACATAAGTGAATGCTCCATGTATTGGATTGGTTGTGTAATTGACCCCACACACCATATACATATCATAGGTGTCATGACACACGGACAATATATATATACAATAGTGTCGTATTTGGTGCCATAGACACTATGACTATATATAGCTTTTTGCATATATGATTTGGGTTTTCTTGGATGGAATAATTTGAGGATGGGTACCGTGGGTTGCATGTCGTGTTAGATCAAATTAACCTCTTAATATGCTATCGTCCACCCATCGTTTTTAGCTTTATTATTTTGAAAGTTAGTTTATACCAATGCAACATTATCTAAAACGCCAACTTTGTTCTCAAATGATGAAACCTTAAAAATCATATGTCCAAATCTCAAAGTCGCAATACGCGAACAAACAAATGTTATTACATGTGCATGAAATGACTTGTTAGAAAATGAATTCTTCACTGGTCCTCCAAGTCCAAATTTTTAGTTGAGCCATGCTAGAACCCCACCTTACATCCCACGTTTGACCTCATTGCTTTCACAGGCACTAGAGACACCGAACACCATTCTGTATCTGTAACGTCTATAAAAGAATATAATAAGGTTAAAAATCAGATGTAAAGTGAGTGTTCAAGTGAGGTTCATATAGTTTTTTTTTTTCCTTTTAGTTAAACTACAAGTTCTCTATGGGCAGATGATCTGTTACCACGTAGAATGCCATGCCATGCCAGGCCAGGCCAGGCCACGCCTATCTGCAAACTTTTCACAACGTACTCCACTTTCACTCAAATAACATTTTTAATTTCGTGCACTTTATCCTGCATGCTGCCCAACTTCTATTTTTATTCTTTCCTTTTTCTTTGTAACTTTCATTGTATATTACCGTAATGCGTTGCATTTATATTTTCTTTGGGCAATGCTTAAAATAACACCAAGTTTGACACCATAACTGACAATCATTTCGTGAACTTGTATACAACACGGCACAAACGTATATGCACTCTGTGTGCACAAATTTACAAACGATTATCAATCTTGGTGTCAAATTTGGTGTAATCCTAACACGACTCATTTGGTGGGTTTGTTGGCGTTGTGAAGCTAAACAAATGCAAAGACTTGTATGCAATTCAATCAAGCAAAAAAAAAAAACACAAATATGTGACATATCAAACAGAGAACTCATCCCAAATGACAACAAACCCCTCCTTCATTGCCAATACAACCATGAGACAAGTCTCATACCTTAGTAACTAGTTTCGGTCCATAACATAGTAACACTAGAGACAAGTAAAACCACAACCTTAAATTAGCCAAAAAAAAAACAACGTTTAAAACGAAACAAAACCGTCCGAACGCCGCATATGTTACAATTGGACATCTCTCTCTCTCTCTCTCTCTCACACTGTCTCTTCCTAGGATCTACCAAACTATGGAATATATAATACTACGTACTAAAGAAGAGCAATGCCCATTAAGAAAAAGAAGAAGAAGAAGAATAGAGGGAGAGATGAAATCATCTGTCACCTGTGTTAGACGTACTAAACTTGCAGGTTGTCTAGGAAGCCCTGCAACTCCTTCAGCCCTTCGGCGGAGATGCTACGGTGGACCCTACCACGCGGGGCGACCAGGTTAGGCGGAGGGCGTTTTTGGAAACACACCACTACGACCGACAGGTTATCCCCACTCTTCCTCTTCAGCGCCTCGTCAACGAGTTCTCTGCAGCACATCTCCGGGTCGTTGTGCTCCTGCAGCCGCCGGCGGGCAAAGTCAACTGCGTTTTGACTCATGAACACGTCCCAAATCCCGTCGCACCCCATGATGAGGAACTCGTCCTCCTCCGTCAGCTCGGTGCTCATGAACTCCGGGTCCGCCGTGAGGGGCCCGCCGTCTCGGGATTTCATCCCCTCCAAGTGCCAGTCTCCCAGCGCACGCGCAACGTTGAGTTGCCCGTTCAGGTATCCGTCGTTCACGTACCCTCCGGAAGCTTCTATGCGCTTTCTTTCCCGCAAACACAGGGGTTTGTGGTCTCTAGACATCTCAATGGCTTTGCCTCGCCGGCAGAGAACGGCTCTGCAGTCACCCGCGTTTGCCACCACCAAAGAACTGTGATTTCACACATTTTTTTCCCCAAACCATTCATAAAACATACGAGTATTAATTAAAAAATTACTTTGTAAAGATTAATTAACCTTCCAACAACAAGAGCTGCCAGGGCGGTGGTACCGGAAGCAATGTCAGCATCCAAGAAACAGGATTGGGCAAGAGCAGTGTCTGTCTGCTGAAATGCAGAAGAAACAGCCCTCTCAATCTCCTTTGGGAAATCCTCATCATCGGCAATGAACTGTGGTAGGTGCGAGCATGCAAAGTCAGCTGCGTGCTTTCCTCCATGACCATCAAAAACCTGAGAATAAATTGGTAATCTGAAGGTTGGTCGTGCACAACTTACACATTCTGTTTTAGAAATCACCAATCCACGCGTAGGTTCTCCCTATGGCGACTTTGACCCTACCGTCACAACATCTGTTTCGCAAGTCTGCCACCTAATGGGTGCCTAGTACTTCTTTGCCAAAACCGAACCATATGTGAAATCAGTTTTACTCCGTAAAATGGTAAATATGCTAATTTTCCCCCCATAGGACGAACAACTACCACAAACCTAGTAGAATCCCACAAAAGTAGGGTCTCGAGAGGGTGTGTTTACATAGAACTTATCCTTACTGGGAAGAAAAAGGGTTGTTTCCATAGAAAATTAGACCGGACCGAACAAAACAACAAAATAAGATCCCAATAGAACAAGTAAATGAGATCAAAGCAGAGCAAAATAGTTTTGGTTTTGATTTAAAGATCATTTCCACAACCTGATTTAAAACTCAGCTGAAAGCAGAAGCTATAAGCTTGAAACCCCGAGTCATTGGTTCCTTGAATTGACAGTTGCACACAAACACAGAACTTTCACTATTTCATAACTGTTATAGTAAGACTAGTGTCAATACTCTAGACTCGCAATGCCAATAGTCATAAGTAATCAATAATATGAAGGTGAAAACAAAACTAGAAGAAGCATTGGAAGATTCTATGCGAGAAGTTTCATGACTACAATTTAGATGTCTTCACATTGTACTCAATGGCTCTTCTTTTTTTCTCCGGTTTGAGATAAATACAGAAAAGGGTAAACTTTTCATGTTTAGTAGGAAAAGAAATATGGGAGAAATAACTACGTGGGATGCACCCTCGCTTCATTAGAAACTAGGGAGAAGAAAACCGATGAGTAGCCTTTTTTGTGTTTCCATTTATACCCTCTATCTTGTATATCATTGATGGATTTAACTGTATTTTTCTTTTTTTTCTTAAATGACACACCCTTTCTCTCTTCTCAATTCCTCCCCTCAGCCCAAACCAACCGAAGTTTAAACAAGCAAAATGTAGGTCATTTATCACATCATCACCAAGCAATTTACCAGGCGTTACAATAAGACAGTTTAAAAGGGTTAAATTGTTAAAGTGTGGAAGAAGAGAAAAGTGTAAAACAATTACCCCATAGAAGGCATTAGGTCCTTCAGTGGAGTTACCAAATCTATAGTCCTGTAAGAAATTGTCTGCACAAACACACACGTCCTCCATGATTGAGCGGGACCCAATGTCGGTCCAGGCCCCCGAGCGCAGTGCAGGAACGAACCTAGTCTCGGGATCATCTATGGGTAATTTTGGCTGATCAGTAACATCTAATGGCCTCCCTTTGGTCTGCAAAGCAACCCAAACAAAATCACCAAATAATGGAAATAAGGTACACAGTTTTACATCACAACAATGGAAATAAATTATGCAGTTTGAGGAATGAAGCTCTCACAGTTCATGGCACTACAAAAGCAACAAGTTCTGATTAGATGATAATTGATGCAGAAAGATTATAAAAATCTGGTAGAAATGCTAAAACATTCTATCCTTAGGGGACACAGCTTCATATCTGGGCAGAAGAACCAAGAAAAAGGCAAAACTGTTGCGAATTGAAATAAAAAGTGAAAAGAATTAGCTGAACTGGAAGCTCAGATCTCAATTTCAGAAAATAACAAATTCATACAGAACAAAGAATTTGTCTGAAAATTGAAGGCTATAAAGATTGGAGCTTGAAGATCGTAAGAGCTACTGTAGAATTATATGATTAATTACCAAAGAAGGGTGTCGAACAATTGATCTCTTACTACAAGGAGCCAGCGCGGCGGCGCTGGAACTCTGGCGGAGGCCGCCGGAGAGGGGGTTGGGCGGCTTGCCGTCGGCGGAATTTCCGGCTCCCGCAGAGCCGCAACTGCTTGAAATACCATTATTGCCCTCCATCCTGACCCTGATCCTCAACCATCACCTGATCGATCTTCTTCGGCAATTCCAAAGAATTCTAGGGTTCTAAAGTTGGAAGAGTTGAGAATTTTATGGTGGGTGTATAGAGGCGAGGGAATTGGTAGCGGAGAAAAAGAAAAGGGTCGTTGGGAGCATAGATCTGTTATGTTCTTTTCAAGTGAAGAAAGAGAGAAAGAAATGATGTATCAACAGCCTCGTGTTCTTATGGGGACCTGGCATCTGTCATTTTTCATTTTTCTTCCTGATGATAATGTAATGGACTAACATTTTGTACACTACAGACATGCACCAACATTTTTTATTGGTGTAATACTAATTTTTTTAACGCACCAATACTTTGTGTCATTTGCGAAGGAGCTTTAGCCTACTTGTGAAAAAAAGAAATGCAAATGTATTTCCATAAAAATGCTAAAGTTATAAATTTGTTATTTATGGATTTAAACTTTTATTTTTAATTATTTGAGACAATTATTTTTTTTAAAAAACATTTTATAATTTTTATCTTAGTGACTTTAGCATTTCTAATTTCCATAGAAAAGGTTTTTACTTTCTCTTTAACGAAAAACGAAAAAAAGACTTGTCACTCTATGACATGTCACTCAACTGAACTGTCACACGCTGACTGGACTAATATTAATTGATTAAAATATTCCACACGAGTCTATTTTTTTACTTGTCACTATTCATGCTCTTATATCCATCATCCATCATCCTAATCCATCATAATCCACGGGTGAAATTGGCGAAACATGTGAAAATACCAACAACGATTCAAAAAACTTAACTACCCTTCGATAATTTTAAGTAACAAACCTTTTGTTATAGGGAGGTAAATGAAATGTTGAGGGATTTTTTAGGGAGATAAATGGAAAGAAAAAAAAAGTGGAATGAGCATAATAGTAGTTGGAGTGTCATTATCAAATATCAAGTGCCCTCATGATTTAACAAGAAGAACAATTACACATTGCACTTTAATTAATTAATTCTAAAACGCATCAAATTTAAGCTCTCCTTGAAATGGAACTCCCAGTAGTAGATTACACTCTCATCATCATCTTCACCGAAGGGGAGAGCTGTTGGATCAACTGATCTTCCATGAGCACCCCAACTTCATCCTCCGGCAGCGTAACCATAACAGTCCGGCTCAACGGCCCCGTTCCCGGCGATGGGAGGATGATGACGAGTCTGTGATTCACCGGTCCAACATCCGGCTCGATGTAATAAGACACGTGGACCGGTG